CTGGCAGCAGCCAGGGGCTGGGGGAGATGAACAGGGAGTGGCTGAGGCAGGAGCCTGTGCAGGGGCTGTAGTGTTGGGATAAGAGATGACATGGGCTTAAACGGAACCAGCGACTCGAGTGATGGAGACGAAAGGTGGGACAGGTACCCCTCAGGTGGGGCATTTAGGAGTCTGGAAAGGAGCTGCTGACATGAATGAGACATAACATAGGATAAATACACTGCAAGTCCGTCCCTCTCCAGAATGTCCATTTTTCTTTCATCCATTATTTCTTATTCCTCTGCTCCTGTAAAATCATGTGAAAATCTATCTTCCTCAGGAATATTGTGTAACTCGTGGTTTTCTGACATCCTAACCTTTCCGTTTACATCCATTCTTTTCTTTGTGGATATCCATCCATTCATTCCACCAACAAATTTGTATTAAGGGCCCACTGTGTGCCAGGCACTTGATTGGGGCCTGGGGGCACAGTGGTGAAAAGACAGACAAGTTTTATGCCCTCACTTGAGCTTCTAGCCTAGAGGAGTATCTACTCAGGCAGTAAAATGTAATATTAAATATCCTAACACTGAGTAGAGTTAGTGGGGAGTATTGGTATGAGATGCAGTTTTGGGGGGGTGGTAAGGACCAGATCTGTGGAGTCTTGTAGACGAAGGCCAGGGAACTGAATGCTGTCCTGGGAGGTACAGACAGAAAGCAAGTAGGGCTTAAGGTCACAGGAATCAGAAAGGCGGAATTCTGGGGTATCTCTGAGGTTTGGGGGCTTGAGCAACCAGGTTGAGGGTGGTGTCATCTATGAAGCATTGCTGTGTGTTTTTCAAGTGTGTAGGATGTATTTCTTTCTCTTTTTTTGAGTTGGAGTCTCATTCTCTTGCCCAGGCTGGAGCGCAGTGGCACATTCACGGCCACCACAGCCTCGACCTGCTGGGCTCAGATGATCCTTCCATCTCAGCCTTTCAAATAGTTGGAACCACAAATGTGTACCACCACTAATTTTTTTGTTTATTATAGCGACAAGGTCTCACCAAGTTGCCCAGGTTGGTCTCGAACCCCTGAGCTCAGGCAATCCTCTTGCCTCTACCTCCTAAAGTGCTGGGATTATGGCCATGAGCCACTGTGCCCAGCCTAGGATGTGTTTTATGTGCATTGTTTCTACCAAGACAAATTCAGAAATATTTGAGTTACTGTATCTTACTCGCTCAACTGTGTGCCCACCACATCACGTGATCTGTGCGGCAAATGAATAAGGATTTCCATCAGATGATCTGTCATATGTATTTACAAGCTCCCACTCCTGATATGGGTCATTTATGAAAGTCGTGTCTTTGGGGCAGAAGAGCCTTGAGCCCTAATGAGGTGACAAGAATGCTTGAGAGAGAGCAAAAACATGAGGCTGAAACAAGAAAATAAATGCTCCTGAGGAAACTGTTCCCTTCTACCGACATTGTCCTTTGCCAGAGGATAGATGTGGGGAACATGAAGATGACCATGGCTTGGGGTGTCCCATCTTTGAAGCTAGGAACCAGGAAAAAGGAACGGTCTGTGTGCACACTGATTGGAATGGATATTCTGTGGTTTCCCATGGTCTCCATCCACCCAGGGCATCTGTGCTCCTTGGTCTCCATGGAAGAAAACGTGTGGGTGACTCTTTGGGTTGACGTGAACAGTGGTGCTCCAGTGCCTGGGTTGTCTCAAGGACAGCAGGTGGAGCCAGGGTCAGCTGATGAGAATTTTCTGTCTTACAGCAGCAGTGGCCTGGAATTCTGAGAATAATTCCCAAGTCTTCACAAAATGCCCATTCCTTAGCTTAGAAGACCACAGTATAGATCGATGACCAAGTAGAACTCCCCAGTAGCTGTTTCTCTTCCAATGTTTGGGATACAGAAACTCTCAGGGTAGAATTTACAGAACTGTTATGTAATTGAATTGACTACAAAAGGTGTGGACATATTTATTTGAGGCATTTAAAAACATTCTTTTTTAGGCTGGGCGCAATGGCTCATGCCTGTAATCCCAGATGGAGGCTAGAGGACTGCCTGAGCCCAGGGATTCAAGAACAGCCTGGGTAACTTGGCGAGACCTTGTCTCTACAATAAATCAAAAAATTGGCCAGGCATGGTGGCGCATGCCTGTAGTTTCAGCTACTTGGAAGGCTGAGGTGAAAGGATCACCTGAGCCCAATAGGTCGATGCTGGGCTAACTGTGAGTGTGCCACTGCATTCCAGCCTGGGTGAGACTCTGCGTCAAAAAAAAAAAAAAGTTGTATTGTAAAAGTAGTCAGTTATAACTTATTTGAGTCCTGATAATTAAGTTCACGAATTTATCCTAGAAAAAGTGTTCCATACCTCATTGCTGAATATCACTGTGGTCACCTTCAAAGTACTCCCCTTGGAAAGCTATGCACCAATGCTAGCACCTAGTCCACTCATCAAAGCAAATTTGGAACTTCCTTCACCCCTTTTGGTTGTGGGTTGCAGGACATTAGTGTTGAAACATTTTATATCCCAGAACACATGGAAGCAACAGGAACTCTTTTTCTGGAATGGCCATCAGAGCCGTTGTTGTATTATCCTTGATGTCCTGAATGACATCAAATGTCTTCCTTTCACTATTTCCTTTATCTTTGGGTAAAGAAAAACGTTACTGGGGGCCAGATCGGGTGAGTAGGGAGGGTATTCCAATACAGGTATTTGTACAGTGCTGCCAACGTAAGCACACGGTGACAAGTACGCAAACTTAATGGTCAGGCCTCAGCAATAATGACGACATATATCTTAGATTAGTTTTCCCTGTAAAAACAGCAAAAAAGTTGTACAAGCTCCAACAGTTAGGTTTGTAAACCATTCTAGAAAAAGTGCTCCATCCCTCATTGCTGAATATCACTACAGTCACCTTCAAAGCACTCCCCTTGGGAAGCTATTGTTTTTCAAAGTTTATTAACTATGATTATAATGAGTCTTCATATTTATGATGCTTTACAGTGTACAAAAGCCATAGCTACATTTTTTTCATTTGATAACACACAACCACCATGAGAGGTAAGCAGTGATTGTATCCCTCTTTACACAGATGAGGAAATGGGGAAATTGAGGATGAGTAACTGCCCACAGACACATAACCAGGAAGTGATTTGGGACTGGAAGCCCACAATTTTTGAGCACTCTTAGTAAATAGGCACGAGCAGTGCCATTCACACATCTTTTCCTCAACTGAATCCTCACGACTATTGGGCAATTATCATCAGCTCTACTTTGCTGATGAGAATGTGCCTGGTAGGTTAAATCCCTAGCCCAGGCCAGTGAGCGGTAGGGCTAAGCCGACTCTTGCCGGAGACCAGCTCCAGCCGGGTTCAGGGTACCCCAAAGGTGGAGACGGCGTCGGCGATTGGGGGGAAGAAGAGAGAGAGAGAGAGAGAGAGAGAGAGAGAGAGAGAGAGAGAGAGAGAGAGAGAGAGAGAGAGACTGGATGCCTGTCTAGTGCGGAAGCCTGTGACTAATACTAAGGCTCTTAGATGTGACCCGAGTTTGAATTGTAAGTTGTGTGAAAGCCAAAACTGCAGTTTGTGGAAGAATGGGAGCAATGAGCTTCTAAAGTTAGCTTGTGTTCGTCCCGGTCTGAGAGTTTTTATGTTTTGAGCTCACAGGAGCTTAATCTGGTTAGTGCTGAGTAGAAAGGGAGAGGAAATGGGGTCAATACCTCCCGAACACATCCTAGTGGTCTCGGGGTCTCCCAACAGCTCTGACTAGTAGCCTGCCTGACTAGTAGCCTTAATGCTCAGTGGGCCTCCGTGGCCGGCTCCCAACAGCTCTGACTAGTAGCCTGCCTGTGCAAGGAACGATCACACTGCCTATTAAAGTTATTAGAGAATAAGCTGGGTGTGGTGGCTCATGCCTGTAATCCCAACACTTTGGGAGGCAAAGATGAGAGGATTGCCTGAGCCCAGGGATTCAAGACCAGCCTGGACAATTTGGCGAGACCTTGTCTCTATAAAAAAATCAAAAAATTACCAATGTGTGGTAGCACATACCTATAGTTCCAGCTACTCAGGAGGCTGAGGTGGAAGGATCACTGGGCCCAGCAGGCTGAGGCTGTGATTGCATTCCAGCCTGGGCAACAGTGTGAGACTCACAC